TGCCTTCTCCTTCATCTGCTTCTGAGTATAACCAGGCATGATGGCCAGTCATCCTGTAAGGCAGGAAGCAAGATACATGCTAAATCCTCAGGGAAACCTTTAAGTGTAGGGCCGGTTGCTAATCCTTTCAGTCCTTGGGAGGTTCGCCCTTCAAGAATAATAAAGATGTATAAAACTAATACATGAATAAAATGTATACACACCACTCCAACTGGACCTTGCGAAGCCGAAAATGCTTTATAACAGAAGACTTGGTATCTACTGAAACAAAGTTGTACTAAATATTTACTAAATACTAATGTGAATATAAGTATTTTCTTTATAGCTAACTAACAGATTTTGTTTTACAGAAGCGCCATCATGTACTGCAAACTGTCCATCCTTCTCCTCTATCGTCACACCGTGGATTTTTTGGTTGTCAACACTTCTCTAAAACCAATGCTTACCTGCAGAGTGTGGGTAAAAATCCTGTTGACTGGAAGGATCTGTGACAAACTTAATACTACCACCAGAGGTATCAAAGACCCGTATCACACAAGCATTAATCTCAATATCATTCGCAATGTGAAAGGAAAAAGGGATAAAACACTGCTGCTACTTGCCAATGTAACGTTTGGTTAAGCTTACATTGCGGTTTTCCAAAAATATTTCACTAAAAAACATTCGTTAATAAGGATACATTTCTCTAGTTGTAAAAATAGGCTTCTACCCATAACAGCACACACCTATAGTTATGTAGTTGGCAAACTTATCTGTTCATTATTGGTGTATTTCTGTATGCTAAAGGAGTCCTGCAGCCGGCAGCACTGTCCCCATAACAAATGTGTGATATCAACATATTAAAGCCCAAATGAATTTCCAATTTGAAATCCGCTAAATACATTCCAGGTCCATCCAAAAAAGGGTGTGGAAAGTCTTACAATTTGTTTAATTAGTAAGCGACCACAGGCTTAGTAGTGAAGTCTCTCCTCTGCTACCCTTCTGCAGAGAAGAACTCTTGGTGTGAAAGCAGTGGCCTCCCTGCAGGGGTCTGGCACACACCCTGCTGAGTCAGAACTAGAGCTCTCTAATAAGCAAAGCTCATGCTTTCTGATGATTGCAGAGCTAGTCTGACTTGGCAGGGGACATGTTGGACCTCTGCAAAGAGACCAGAACCATGGTCTTCCTCTACAGCATGCTGGAAGGGGACAGTCTCCCCTCCCCCTCTACTGAGGCTATGCCTGCTTTGTAAAGAAAATCAACTGTAAGGCCCCGTTCACACTTGTGAATGGGGCCAGTTGCATGCATCTCATAGATTGCTCCATGCCTGCTCATGCAAACCGCTGCAGATGGGAAGTGCTGTTCAAAGCAATGATGGCTGCCAGCGCCTGCAACCATTTGCATGTAAGTGCACATGCTGTGACTACCTGCAGACGATTGTTCGTAGGAAATCGCAATATGTGTGATTACTTGCAAATAGGTGCTGACAGCTGTCATTGCATTGAACAGTGCTGCCTGCCCGCAGCTGTTCGCATGGACAGCACAATCCGTTCGGCTCATGCAATCAGCCACATACGCAAGTGTGAATGGTGCTTAAACACCTTTTTTTGTTTTGATGTGCCTGAAATATATTTAGCTGTTTTAAACTGAACATTTGAAACATTTCTAATCTAAATTGTGTAGGTTTTTTAAATTTCTGGTTGCATTACTGTGCCATTTCTTAAAGCAGTTACAAATTCAGCAAAACCTACTGGGAGGACTTTATACAAACTGGAGCATTTGCCCATTAACCAACCTGCTTAACTCTTCAATATGTTTAAGTTCTGAAAATGAGTCTGGTTGTTGTGCACATCTGCTCCAGATTTGATAGATTCCCCTTACTGTATATATTGAAGCTTGTCTTTCTAATAAACAACAAGCCAAGCATTGCAGCAAGCTGTGCTATATTTGGTCTCTTAAGAGTCACACTGTGTGCAAGCAAAAACTGGCGTCTGTGGGTTCTAAGCCGGCAGAAAATACCTTAAGATTGCTAGAACATTGCATAGTTATTGTTGAGGTGAGAATTTAATGCAGAACAAGCGCCACTCCCTGCACCTTAATGGAGGGGTTCTGTGAGTCCCTAAACTTGGTGATTGTGTTGCATTATAAACTCCCTTGCACTGGCAATGTTCTCTGATTTTTGTGATTGCTACACCAATTTACTATTGAAAGGTCTTTTAAAGCACTCCTTGCAGTCTTGAACTATTATTACTATTACCTCCACCTACTGCTTCTTTTTGTGCAGACAGTGTGAAACTTGATGGAGATTTATTGCCAATAAGCCCATG